TTTTTTTCTCTCACTGGGAGTCAAACTAAGCACAATTGGTTTCCAGTGAGCTAACACACAGCTGGGCAACATCCAAAGAAGCCTGGCATGAACACTGAGTAAACATGCTGGTTTGACACATCCACGTTATTTATTTGGCCTGCTACAGAGGCCATATTTCATCTGCCAAGATGGCTGCACCACAGCTGCCTTCTGCTCCATTATAGGGGTCAAAGTGTCACTACAGAGGGAAGTATCTCAGAGGAAGATTTCTTATGCTGAAAAATACTGATATTCGAATTGACTAAAATAATATTATGCTCAATTAAAAAAATCATATCCTCTCACCAACAGGCAGCTGACTCTGTGTTGAAGGGAAAAAAAAACTTTGTCACATCCACTTACATTCAACTGTTCAAACCCTGCTGGAATATTCGCTTGCACCGTGCGTCATCTAGTGGTGGGATCCGACCTCTTCCGTCTGTGCTGCTGCTGCTCGGCTCCTCAGCGCGGTGAAAGAGGGGGGAAAAACCCCACTAGTCTGCTTTTGTCTCCGGGGAGCTCCGGTCGATGCCTCGTCCCACCATATGTCTGATCGCAGCTGCCAATCAACAGGTCAACGCGACCCCGGGGAGGCAGACACTGGTGGGGAGAGATCAAACAGTGGACCTCGGGGATGACAGATGCAGATAGAAAAAAAAGGCAATAAAACATTGCTTCAAAGATGGCAACGGTGCACTAGGAGGCAAATTATTGTTAACAGTAATCTGCAGAATAGCGCCTCGCATTCTGATCGATTGACTATTATGGAGCCTTTGAAGCCGAGGTAACGCCAGGCTATTGTTCATGGTGGGACACAACCAGAAAATAGCAGCTGGTTTGGAGTCAACTATAGCGCTTCCTAAGCCTTAAATACTACTTACTTCTATGCAATCATGCTTTCTAATAGACTTGCAATTTGGACTCCTCCAGGCTTTGGACCTATTGAGAGTTTTTCATAGCCTACATTCAGCTGCAGTCCCAGCAGCACCAAACAGACATGTCTGGAAAAGGGCAAATTAGGGAAATAAAGTCAAACAAATGGTAAATATTTGTATTTAATTACTATATAATTACTTTTATTTCAGTACAACCAAGGTTACTTAGACAAAGGAGGGACATTCTTCCAAAACGCACCTAAATTACAAATTATTTTTGGCTTATCTGATGGATGGTTTAAATAATACTTTGGCAAATACCTTTCTCTGTAAGTCATTACGCTTACATTCAGACATTCAAACAAAATATGATGCTCATCTCCCACATGATTATCATCACAGAGGTTGCATATCCTCTGATTTCTGTCCAGCCCTTTATATCTTCCTCTAACTCAAGAAATTCTTGTTATTGCCTCTAAAATTATGAATACTTTAGGTTTTCATGCAACAGATACTTCTCCAGTTGAAACTCTTGTTTAATTTCAACACCTGTATCACATGATGTCATACTTCTGAGTTCACTTTTGTATAAAGTGATCTTTTAGCCTCCATTGAACTGTTGGTTTTAACCAGTTGATGTTGTTACACTTTTGTGTGAGCCAGTTGTAAGACAAGCCACGTTCATGGTGACACATATACCCCCGTGTTATGCAGGCTGAGCAAATAGTTGTACATTATTTGACTGAGTTTAGTTTCTTTACCCTCTATCAGCCACCCCAAGTAGCCAATAATTCTCTTTTTAACTGCAGTACAGAGTGGATAACTCCCTAACTCCCCTTTATATCATCTATTTCCTATATTTTTAGAATACTTTTATTAGGAGTGAACATAACTGCTCTAATGTTCTTCATCCTCTGGCCTATTTTTATTCTTAATAGAAGTTTAGAGAACACAGAATGGCCATTTCACTCCTTAATGTATATTAACTTTTAGCATAGGTGTAGATTTCAGGGGAAAGCAGAGGACACATCCCCCTCAATATTAAAACGTGCATTTGCAGAGGACTTTTGTTTTGACATAAAGACATTTACACTGTAAATTGATGCAGAAAAGGGCTCAAATTATTGGTGCCTAAAATTCACCAGAATGCAGGATATTAAGTGTTTGATGCTCACATTTTATGGCAGATGACATCCAAACCCCTCGTTTCATGTGTGTTTCTCCTATAGTGCTGAAATCAAACTTCTGTCCGTGACTTATTGCCTACCTAAAATATACTATAGCAGTCTAGGTCAAACTAAATCAGCATGAAAGAATGGTAAAGAAACAAATTAATGCTGGACCACACATCACAATTTGTGCTGCACTGGTTACTATTTCTGATTTTTTTTTTCTTTAAATGTTGAATAGTAGAAAGTAAAACATAACTCAAAGATGATTTATGATCATGCAGCAACTGGTCGTGAGGTTTAAAGTGTGCTTGGAGACATGCAAACAAATCATTCTAATATTTAGACCATCATAGCCTACTCCAGGTGGAAAAAATCTGACCATTAAATACTCAGTTTCTTGAAGACTTCAGGCAGGCCCCTTTCATTTTATTTATTTATTTAACCAGAAAAACCTCCTGAGATTAAAAATGTCTTTTTCAAGAGTGTCTTGGCCAAAACAGGCAGCAACATAAGTTACAGACCGACAACAAAATAAGCTTACTACAAAGAAAAGCCAGAAAGTATGATAATGTATACAAGAAGTTAACTATAAAAACGCAAAAATAGGGCAACTACACATGATTACAAAGACCAGCTAAGACACGGTGACATTGGCATATAGATTGTGTATAAAAATCCTGCAGCAGCACTTTGAAACGGCCGAGAGAAACCAATGAGTGCAACTTGAAGTCCTTCTGCAGAAGATTTTATATATAAGGAGTTGCATACATAAACATTCACTGACCAAACTGTATGTATCCTCGGCACAGACATTAAAATCATGTTCTGTGAATGGAGAGCATAGCCAGTTTTAATTTTTTGCTAGATATACAGACATAAGTGTGCTGGAAGTAGGCAGAGAATAGCTTTGTACACATGAAAATGGAGTTAAGGTTTTAAATTAAAAGCACTTTATGTAAAGTTATTTGTATAACTGCAATTTATTCAAGTGTAGCCAGCCATTGTTAAGAGTCATGAAGACAAAAGCACAGAAACTATAGACTCATGTTAGTCAAAGGTGCTGGGTTAAATCATCCTACAGTGCTGCAGATGGAATATATCTCACACAGTATGAGCTACAAGCTGAAAACAAACCTCTTCCTCTTTCCCTGTGTATCTCTTTGATCTACGTGCAGGTTTCAGGCTTCATCCTATGTTGAGTGAAACCGTTGTACATTGAGTCTATAGTCAAATCAATGAGATACATGTAAGCTAACGGGGAATCAGCTTTGGAATGCATGCTGTAAACGTGCTGCATTAAAACACGGCCATAATGTTTCATCTCCGTCTCAGCAGGACTGATCTTCTTACCTCACTCTCTGCTAATCAGGAACAAATCTTTGGGCCTTAATCTACGGCCCCCCTGCACCCCTCCGTCGGCCCATCCCATTAGATTAACAAAATGACATGCACATATGAACGCACACAAAACCACACACACACACACACACAGCTCATGACCTCAATCTCATTCTGCTAGAAAGGTAGTTAATTAAGATTTTTGTGTGAGTTTGTTGAATGTAAGTGCTGTTATTTGGAGTATTTTAACTGGGAAACATTACAAAACAGCTCTTTATGATAAATTTATTTTAGTGGCTAAAATATTATTTAAACTTTTCACAAAAAAGCACAAAAACTAAGTATTAATTAATTAAACTAATTTAGTTATTTGGATGATTGCATGTGTTTTTCTGCTAGTGTTTTAGAAGTTGTGTGTGTGTGAATCATGGTAACTCTTGCGCATGGGTGTGTGTGTGTGTGTGTGTGTGTGTGTGTGTGTACAGCAAACATATGCAACCAAATTAAAGCCTTAAAGCTGGTGAATTGAAGAGGATTTGATGCAGAGAGCAATTCATGGGAATTAAGCAAATTAGGTCTCCAATTAGCTGCCGACATTGAATAGGAAGATTTGGTGAACAAAAAATTAATTAGATGGATTTGTCATTGTTCTAATGAGCATCGCCAGAAAATAACTGTTGGGAGCGAGTAGTGCACCCTCCCTCTACTCCTCTCCATCGCTCTCCGTCTCCATCTCTGTCTCTCTTAAGCTTTATCCTTCTGACATATTGTTTGTCGGTTAGGAATCTAATTTCATGTCAAATATTGCCTCATTCAAATATTCAATAATTTGCAAATAAGAAGCCCACATGAGCCGAGACAAACAAACTTCAGAAAAGTCAATGTATGACCTAATCCTCTTAGGCTGGAGCACTGTGGATGTAAATGCCAACCTTTGCAAGTCAGAGAGGAATTTCACTATTGATGTGAGAGCCGGACAGGTAAGAATTGACTTCATCCTTATTATGGCAGCATTTTGGAGTCATTTTATAGAACTAAACGGCTCCTGGTTTAGAGACAGATGTAATTTTTAGGGCCTCCTTTATGATAATATGGCTTTTGTCATGTATTGCACTCATTCCTACAGTGACTTTGATTATTTCAGTCACTGTATGCTCCTGCCCCGACTGGATCTTCCTACAGAGTCCCTAAAAAGCCGTCTCCCCTCTCTCCCTGCCTCCTTCCCTTTCCTCTGCTCCCCTCATCCCTGACCTCCCGTGGTCCCCCCTCTTTCTGCAGCAGCGGTTGGTTATGGATTACACTGTGTGATAAGCTTCCTATTTCTTGAAACTATTTGGGATTGCTCAGATTATCTGGCCTCGTATCCTTGGGAGTCGGCTTTGGCAAGCCCAATTTTAGTCTCTTAAGGCACAAGATTTTGCATCCCGACAGCTTTTACTAATTAGCATCTAACACCGGGTGGTGTTGCAGCATTGGGCTCACTTTTAGAACTATCTGCTTGCTCGGGCAATCGCACACACATTAACACACATTAACACACACAAATCACAACTGAGGAGTAAAAACATCACAAGGTGTTGAATTCAATATGATTTAATGAGATTATAACAAAACATTGTGAGTTTTTGTTATTCTAAAAACACTGAGAATACAAATAACAGATTCATACATGTCATCATCGAACACCCTAAAATCGCTTTGGTTTGCAGAGTTTAACGTGACATTGTCCACTTCGACGTCAACATCACCTAATGACAAATTCATTAGCAAATAAGACTAAAATCTCTCCTTTACCCAGCAATAATTCAGGGCCAGATTGTTTGTACGTCAAAAGTACAACACTCTCAGGGTACAGAGGCGTGCAGGCTCGGGTGGAACCCCACTTGTGGCTGCACACTGGACCATGGCCAGTAGAGTCTTGGTGCCAGGCAGGACAGAGGGAGCGTTTGGGCTTGGGGGCAGCACCAGTAGGTCGTTCTGTGTGACCGGACGAAGGCTGGGTGGTAGGGCGAGCTCAGGGAGGAAAGGGGGAGCTGTCCTGCCACCCTGCGTACCCTCCGCCGGGCCCTCCGGCAGTGGTAGTCCCCGTTAGAAAAGTCCTGGAAGTTCGTAGGGTGAATCGCCCAGAAGTGGCCTTTACCATTGTCACTGCGGCCTGCTTTGATGAAGCAGTCATTCAGGGACAAGTTGTGACGCACGCTGTTCCTCCAGTTTTTATCCTGTTGGAGAGAGAAAAACAAAACGGTTAAGCCAGAAACAAACGCTCAGCGCTAAGTAAGAGTTAAACAATGGTTGTCCCCAATTGGGAAATTAACATAGGTGGCAGCTAAGTATCACTGATCCTCCTCAGGATGTCACCTTGTCCTGTTGTTGGCAGAATGCACCATAGCGTGTCAAGACCGTATATGATCGCAGTAAGACACGACACCCTGAGTTACCTTTTTAGCACATCAAACCAGTGATCAAGTTTAATCCACTAGGCTACGTCCAATCTGTTGTTGCACCTGGTAAAGGCAGAGGCGGTTTGCAACCTAGCAACAGGATTACTTTATTTGCGAATTCGCCAACAACAAGATCATCTAGTGTCCCCGCGAGCACCTAATTGCCTAACCACTCAGACAGATTACGTGTGCCAAGTAGGTCGGTTCACTTGTGAAAATGGCTGCCGCATTAATTTTCAGCGACTGAAGAAAATACACGCTCTCGTGATCTGTGTCATGTACGCCTTACAGGATTAATTTCAAAACAGTCCCACAGACACAGATCCCCTGGATCGTAGCTTCACATTATCACCAGACTTTCTGAATTCATCAAGAACTATTGTGTCCTTACAGTGCCATCTTTGTTGATCTCTGCTCGCCGGGTAAACAGAATAACACAAGAACATTGACGTGAACGTACCTTACTCTTGAAGTAAGGGTAGTGGTCCATGATCCACTGGTAAATGTCACACAGCAGCAGTTTCTTCTGCTCTGACGCCAGGATTGCCTTGGAGATAAGCGCAATGTACGACTGGTTGGGTTTGTCCGCAGACTTCTCCGGACTGCTGCTGGTCGACGTGGTGGTGGTGGTGGTGGTGGTCACTTCCTCCGCCCCCTCCTCTTGTTGCACTTCATCCCCCTCCTCTTCTTTGACTTTCCTCTCTTCAGCCTTTGCCTCTGACCTCTGTAGCCGCTTCTCCTGCACCTCTGAGCGAATCCCCACCTCTTCGGGTTTAGGATTCTGATGATTTAGCATGTTGCTCGCTGTCTGCTCTGCCGTACGACTTCCTGTCGCTTCTTCTTTAGAACCTTTGACTCCTTTATTGAACAGAAGGTAGTCAATAGTGAAGCTCAGTCCCAGCCTTTCTCTGCCGCTGCCGGTGCGGCTGCTCCTGTCCTCCATTGTCATCTCTGAATTGAGATATCTCAGACTCATTACAGAGGTTTAATTGGCTCCAAACTGACTGTTGAGTAAGTATCAGGTGTTAAATGAAAAGTCTGTCTCCCAGAAGTCCTCTCAGATTTCTGTGTTTGAGTTTCACAGCATGGCTGTTTTCTTGGAAAGTGCAGGACCCTTCATAAACTGAACGCCTCAATGCCCCTCGCCTCTATCGCTCAAGTCTTACTGTTGACAAGATCACAGATAAAGATGAGCCTCTCAACTGTTGTTAACCTTGACGCGCTCACGAGCGACACACTCTCAACTTGTGGAACTGACGTCAGCCTGTGAGATTAAACACAGCTAATTTGTACAGCAACAAATTTTGTTAAAAAGTTTTTGCCTCTCTGATAAACCTGACGATCAAATCCACTTTTTCAGAATCCAGCTGCCTTTTTTGCTCCTGAAACAAAGAGTTGTGCTTCACAGTTACGAAGGTGTCTCTATTTATATGACTGTGAATTTATCCCTCACAGAAAGGGGCAAAGAAGGCACAGGGGTGGTCCAAGTGGGGGGTCTCAATTGAGACGGATTATTTTTATTAACCCAAGCAAATCTTTGTAATTACGGGAGATTAAACACTCAAGATTTAGTAAGACGTGGTGTGCAGAGGATGGATGCTGCACAATCAAAGGCCTTTTAGATGCCACTGTTATCCTGTTAAAGTTGTTTTGTCCATGGGGATGCGTCCAAAGAATTACTTCAATTACCATAGAGCAGTAATTAATGGGTCAATGTTTAATGTTTTGGAGACAAAACACAGTCGAGTCTCCTTTTCTGGAGAGAGCACAAATGTACTGCGCAGCCACTGATAAGCAACAGAACAGTACACGACTGAAAAATCAGACTCACCTGTTTTTAATTTGTGTATCCTGTGACCTTTATTCCAATTCATAGCAACTATTATTATACTTATATGTTATTAGCCAGTGGAGATGTTTAAGATTTAATCTATAAAACAGTGAGTGAGGTCAGCAAATGCAATCCTAGATATCTTTTAAGATCCATCTCAAAGATCAAAACTGAAATACTCTGCACTTGAAATTGTATTGTATTATTTTATAACCTTTAATTGTGTAATAAATATTTTACTGGCTAATTATGGTTTATTTTCAGACCGAACATTTCCTTCAATTTGAGGGAACAGTTATTGACTACTGGTCTCTATAATGTGTGAGGACTCTACTACTGATTTTTTCTTTGTGTTTAATTAAACTTTACTTCTGAAGTTTCATGATTTGTGCTTTAATAGTGATTATGTTTTAATGCCAATGATGAATTCATGTTACAGTTTTTAATTCTATGGGTTTTAGCTGGATTACAGTAGTCTAGTTTAGTTTAGTCTAGTTTATTAGCACATACATGTATAGAAAATGCAGGAAAAAGAAATTAAAAGTTGAAATATTGTGCAGGAGAGGTTAGAAGCCTCCCCTATTGAATAACATACATAAAAGAAAAAGATAAAATGAAGGTTGCATAATTGACGTTCCAGAGTTCCAGACTAAGAAGTAACACAAAATCCTAAACTGAGGATGTTTTGTTTTATTGTGGATTTTTACTTGTTAAATATGATAATTTGTACTTTGATTGTGACAATGTTTTAATGCCAACAATGCATTTACGCCACAGTTTTTGTAAATGGTTATAGCTGAAATACAGTAGAATAGCTATATTATAATATACATGTGAAACACACTGTGAATTACACATTTAAATGTTGACATGTCATGTGTTTAATTTGTGTGTCTTGTTACCTTTATTCCAGTTCTTCGAAAATATTGTTATAGAAGAAACTTATTTTACACACCATAGCCAGGTTCTGGAAATCCACTATGAGACCAAATTTGCAAACCTGGCTTACTGGAATGTCCCTAGAAAAACTTACCTCTACAATAAAGGGTACATATTCAACTTCTGATAAGATATGAGGACAGTTTATGACATTTCCAGAGGGAATAAGGCTACAGAAGTCTACCTGTCTTAATCCCTTGAATGCAACATAGCAATGTGCTCTTTCTTTCCTTTAGTCTCACAATATTTATAGAGGTAACATTTCTTATAATTTATTATGAACCTTGGAAAAGTGCTCACTGTATTGCCCTGTCATAGCAGCTGTTATTAGGATGATGCCTTACTGTTAAAGTTCTGTTTCATACCTTATTTGTTTCCTGTTGTTGTTTTTGGTGTAAAATTTGTAGTATAAAAAAGTTTTTAAAAAAAAGAGAAACTTATTTTGTTATTAGCCATTGGAAATGTTTAAGTTTATCATCTACAAATTAGTAAACTTAATATAACTAATTTGGTTCTTTTCTGCTTGTCACAGAGTTCAATAAATACAATAGGCTCGCAGCAGGTTAAGGAACTCATTTGCTTCTCAGTAGCCTCAGTGCAACCTGGGTCAAACATGTCTGATGGGATTTGGGGCGTTAATATTATGGTGTTGTTGTTTGGTCAGCTGTTTTATTTATGTGTATTTATGTGAAACAGCTGATGACCTGGCACACAAGAAACACAATAAGGTGAAATCAGATCAAATCAGATCAATCAAATTATCTTATATGACTGCTATCTTTGGTGTGTCTCCTCTTGAAGGCAGGTTAACTAAACACCAAGCTGATTTTGTTGCGTTTGCCTCCCTCATAGCCAAATGGTGCATATTGTTACAGTGGAAGAGCCCTGACCCCCCTCGCACAACTTCTTGGTTTAAGGATTTAATGTCTTTTCTCCACCTAGAAAATATCAAGTACACAGTCAGAGGATCTGTGAAGAGATTCCACAAAACTTGGGACCCCTTTTTCTCTTATATCAACTCGCTAACTTAGACAGACAATTAATTGCTTAGTAAATCTTTTTATCCCCTCGTTTTTATTTTTTAACATTTTATTTATCTATTTCTATTGTATTTATTTCTTATTTTATTTATTTATTCTCTTTTTACTCTTCTAGCACTCAAAAAAGTAAGTGTGATTTGTACCTACTAGGACATTTGGGAAGGTGGTTGGGAGGGTGATTTCAGGATGATTGGTTTGTGAGGTGTTGTTTGTGTGTTGAAAAATAGGACACTCCAAAAAAAGTCAGACTTCTGCTTAGCAATGAGTACCTGTACTGTCTATTACTTGCTCTGAAGTCTGTTTAATAAATATACTTTTTAAAAAAAAAAAAGTATCATATGTCTATTAAGATCCATCTCAGAGATCAAAACTGAAATACCTCTGTACTACTAAATTGTTTTGTATTATCTTGTAGTCTTTATTGTGTTGTGAATATTTTACTGGCTATAGATTATTTCCCAGAGTGCACGTCCCTCAGTTTGGGGGAACAGTTATTGACCAGTGTTCTCTAATGATATATTATGACTCTTCTACTAACTGTATCTTTGTGTTTATTTAAACTTTTAAAATGTTATAATTTGTGTTTTGATTTTGATAACAACATGGTGGCGCTTGTACAGGCAGCAGCACAGCACTCTGTAATTCATGGCATATGTTGGCACTGCTTGTGTAGTGTGGATGTTAAGTGTATGAATGTATGATATCTTATCCTCTCCTTTATTATTCATTTATTACTTTCATAATGAGTTCTGTTGTATTCTGTGCACTGAATTCCATTGTATTTATTTACAATGACAATAAAAGGAATTGAATTGAATGATACTTTAATGTCAATAATGAATTTATGTTGCATTTTTCTATGATTTTTTTCTTCTGAATTCCCGTTGACTTGTTTAAGTTATGATATGCAGGTCAAACATCCTGTCAGTTACACTTTTAATGCTGACATAAATTCTGGATTTTATCCTGACACTCATTTAATGCTACTGACATTTTACAGTGAAGAATATCCAAGTATCTGTAAGTATTTTTGACCAACTATGAAGTTTACTAAAACACCTAATCCACCTTAAAACATGATTTTATTTAACCACCTGAATCCTTATTTACCCAGAATGTGGTTTTAGGTTCCCCATTAGTAAAATCAGAGTCATATAAAACGTTTTAAAATGTTTTCATCATCGCATACATATTCTGTATCTTGTCGCACTTCAGTAAAACTGTCACACTTTTTAGAGTATGAAATATCTAAATGCAAAATGTCATTTTTACAGTTACAGTGTTAGAATACATCAAATGGAAAATCATTAGTGTACAGTATATCTATATTTTATGACCTGAAACAAATAAAGGTCTAGTTATAACAGCGTCTGTGTGCTTGAGTTTATACTGCTAGATTTGTTAACGGAGGAGCTGCAGAAATTAGTAATAGAATATAGATATTGGCCTACACCATTTCACCTCAGCTGTCACCACATTAGTGCAGATCACAGTTATCGTTCAGCATCTGCATAGATCTGCTTGGTCCTGTAGCTATAGTGAGATAATGAATTAAATGGCAGCCAGGTCAAATCATGGAGCATATTGCCCTCTTCTGTTTAAATAATGCAACATGTAACACATGCACAACCAAAGATGCAATGCTGCCTTTACATTCACAAGCTTTTGTATTGTATAAGCAATATTCATCCATATGTATAGGTTTTTGTTGTGTTAATAAAAAATATGGACTAATATTAGAACTGTAAGAACATAACAGCTGGTATTGTAGAGAAAGACGTTTTAGGTTCTGTAACTGTGAAGTAAATATAGACAGAACATAACCGAATCATATAATCCCTATATCCTATATATTTTATTTAGAAATCATACTACTTGATAAGATTTTCCATCAGGCAGTGCAGAGGTAAAACCAGCGCTCCTGCATTGTTTTATTGACGTTTCACATCCAAAGTAAACCCCAAACAAAACACACCATGTTATTACATGATACTGCAATTTCTTCAATTGATTTTTGTGTTTCCATGAGGCTAATCATTGCCACATATGAGGAGCTCCTGGAAAAGCAGGGCTGGATCAGCACAGGGAGTATTAATATGTCCTCAGGAAACTTATTCCCATTTTACTAAAAGCATGACGTAATTGACA